AATGTAAGCGGATGATCCATAAGCTAGGACACCATGTGAGAGGGATGCAGTGGCGCACCATATTATAGACTGGCCTTTAGAGCATCTGTCAGCTCTATCCCAATACATGTACCTCTTCTCAAGTCTCCATTTAGCAGATATAAAATGTTCTATATTCTCTTTTATCTCGACTTCATGCGTCCACAAAAACAGGAATACCTATTCAAAATATTTACATGTTGTACATCTGAGGAGCATTTACTGATTTGTCATGTTTATTCTTACATGTATAAATAAAAGTTTTTTTAAATGGAATATTCTTTAATCTGCATTAATATTTCATTATAGTCGATGACTTCTAATGCTTCAAACCTTTGATTATTCCTACTGATTTAACACAAATTAGTTATGTTGAACAGGGGGGTCTAAGTTTCTCCGAGGGGGGGGGGTTCCAAGGTAACTTTTATCTTGGTATAGTATATGAATTTAATAACCTTGCAAATTACAGGGGGGGGGGGGGGGGGGGTCCTGAGCTTCATATTTTAGCGGCTTAGGCACAAACATTAATGCAATAATTAATGAATACCACTGTTTTATGCAGAAGAATTTTATGAGTGAGGTATATGTGCATTACTTTTGTTGTAGTGTAGACTAGTCAGTGAAATATTGAATTGTATGTAGATGGGAAAAATTCTATAGAGTGACAACACCTTGCATGATGTTGCATCTCAGGTTAATTGTTTGGGTTACATGTATAACAGTGTCTCAAATGATATGATATCTTTACACATGACAGAGTACAACTGGATTATGTCATGTGAAGATCAACTGACAGTGATACACATATATACACCACTGTGGAATTGTATTTAGCGTGTAATTAAAGTTATATAATCCAAGATTCCTCCGACTCTAAACCCTGCTTTTACATTGTGACTTGTGCAGGTTACAATCAGATGTAAAAGCAGGATTTCGAGTCAGAGAAATCTCGGATTAATAGTTATAGTGCCCTTGCCCCTTTACCCCTGTTTGAATATTTATCAGGTCTGGCACAATGTCTTGATTAAGCTATATAGCTTGATTTAGCTATATAGCTTTATTAAGCTATTTGGAATAGCTTAATGAAGCTATTTTATCACAATTTTTTCTCAAATGTTTTATTTTTTCAGCATGTGCAAAAAGTCGCACCTTGGTGCAGTGGAAATATTAAACTTTGAACTCTTCTGAATACAATGCATGTAAAAATCACTCACCAAATTGTGTCTCCTTGAGAGACTTTGTACTCAAATTTTTAAAAGTTTGGGGGCTATTGATGAGTGATCACACAGTTATTTCTTCAATGAAATTATAAAGGAGGGCAGTTATGGCCAACAGGATAATTGATTGGTAACAGTTCAACACAATGAGAAGCAATCATACTTATCCACGCCTCACCGCACTCAGTAGGACACTTTCCCCTAGTACAGTTACCAAAACAATGGAAATTCATCTTTTGCTTAAAAGTATTCAACAACAGCATTGTTAGAACTTTCTACGATTTAGGTTGTTTTTTTGATAGCCCAAAGTACATATATGAATAGTCAAATACTTTTTGTTTATTTCTCACTAAAAACGTTTTTGTTAAAAACTGCATATAAATAGTTTTATAAAGCTATTTTAAATAGCTTAATAATGCTATAATGCTATATAGCTTAATCAAGACATTGTGCTGGACCTGTTTATATTGCAAAGAATTGCCATGATCACGGAAGAAAAATAATATGTTGAACTTAGAGACAAACCTGGGCAGATCAGACGAGAGTTGTCGTGGGCATGGTCAGATGGTGGGGTGGGGTGATCATGGTGATGCGATTGTGATTCCTTCATTCGAATGATTGTTGGCAGAGTAATTTCAGTATGACACACCTCAATATCGCCTTCTTTCAGTCAAGGAAGCCTTGTTGTACCGCTAAATAGATTTGATAGACGAAAACCCAAGATTTCTCCGCATTTCATGCTTTCCGAAATATCCGCTTTGTTTACAATGCCGAAAACGGCGGTAAGCGAGATAAGTCGTAAAATTTCACTGAGTTGGTTTTTGGTTCGATTTTAATGATATTTTAATCACAATTTATATTATTTTATATCAAGTATATCTATACAATAAGCTGCTCTGTAAAATTTAATAAAAAATCATCGAAAGATTTGAACGACATAACAAAAACGTAAAATTCATTTACGTCACTTGGAGTTGCGCGGTGGATTCAAAATCGTCAGTTCCATACTCCCTTAAAGTCAGCTGTGTACAAATGGAAGGATTAGTATTTTTGATAATTAATTTCTGCGATACCACAATATCCAACTTATCACATGAACGTTGCGCTTGTAGATTTTGAATTGCTTCCATATCTGATTAATTAATTGCATAGACAATTAATCTGAGATTCCATCAATATCCGACACACCATAAAAAGGCATTTTAAGAAATGTAACATATCTTGAAATAGATGTGAATTTTTTGAGCAGATAAAAATATACAAAAAAAACTTTTAAACTGAGATATATTTAGAACTGTGAAAAGCTGTGTTTAACAGGTCTTGAATCAGGTTATCACGCAATGAAACGCAAAGAGATTGATCCTTGAATCGTTTGAATAGACCTGGTGTTTTACGTACTAATTAGCAAAGATAACAATTTAATAAGATTTGTGCCATTCTTTAAAGAACACAATAAATTTTCTGTAAAGCAAATATCCGTGAATTTTTTGACAATCCTCGTATATCAGCAGGGGGCTTTTAAAGATAAAAAAGGAATATTTTTTTCTGAAATCATGTTGTTGCGTTAACGAATGAATGTATTATGCAACTTAAAAAACATCCTAAGGTATTGGTCATTGCAACGTTGGGTTAGAAGTCCATGTCAAGAAAATTTTAAAATCATTTCAATTTTCCAAACAAAGAGGAGAGGTCGGACAATACCGAAAAGAAAAGGTAAGATGTTTTAATCATTGAATCCTAGAAAAAATAGTCATTTGCAGGAGAAAAACGATAAATTCCATGAACCAACGTTGAGTTCATCTAAGCTTTAATACGAGTATAACCCCTTTCGCACCGGGGCTGCGTCCTCCCGTCCTCAAAAAATGCAAAAAGCCTAGGTGATCGCAGTAGAGTCTCCTACAGCGCTGTGACAACGCGGCGAGATCTCAACTGAACGCCGTAGGGTCGCGTTGGGTCTCCTAGAACGCCAGGGGACGGCGATCAAAGTATGCGGTCCCGTGGGGATCCGGGTTAGAATAGGTCCTCAGTACCCCCTTGCTTGTCGTAAAAGGCGACTAAATGGGGCGGTCCTTCGGATGAGACCGTATAAACCGAGGCCCCGTGTCACAGCAGGTGTGGCACGATAAAGATCCCTCCCTGCTCAAAGGCCGTAAGTGCCGAGCAAAGGCCTAAATTTGCAGCCCTTCACCGACAATGGTGACGTCTCCATATCAGTGAAATATTCTGGAGAGGGACGTTAAACAGAATGCAATCAATCAATCACAAAGTACGCGCCGTGTGATCGCGGTGTGATAAGAACGCAGAAAAAAGTAGTATGATCGCCGTAGCAGCGCGGTATGATCTCCAACAACGTAGTGGGAGCTCCGTACGAACGCCGTGAAGACGCACATGATCGTGGCACGAACGCAGTGATAGTAAACTGCGCTTCCATGGAGACGTCAAGGAGATGTCTCGGAGTCCTTGGAGATGTCACTGCGTTTCTAATGAGATTGATTGTCTTATGATTTTTTCGACTGCGATTACACGGCGACAGCACGGAGTTGTCACTGCGATCATTGCACTCCAATGACGTTTATACAGCGTCCGTTGGCGATCAAAATGCGCTTTCACGGCGTTGTTAGAGCGTTGTCGGCCAGCTCACAAAACAAGAGCAATGAGATCATATTTGATCAGTGTTGTGTTGTAGAAATATCACCATCCAACACGTGGGTCAGCCATAACGGAACTACTCTATTCAATATTCATGCGCACTTACATTCTAATATATAAAAATGTTAATGAAAGATACAAGAGCTCCGGAATACATCACATTCATCAATAATTCCAACGTATTTGTTACACTTGGAGCATTTAAGTGAAAAAAATGGAAAAGAAAATTACGCCAAAACTTGTTCTGTTGATTCACTTAAATTTTGTAGAAAAAATTTTCAGTTTATTTTTTACATTCATAATAAAATCAAAGAAAATCTAACAACACATCTAAAGCGATAAAATTGAAAAATGGAGTTTAATCATTAAACAATTAAATATTAATAATTTAGTACTAAATTAATTAAGTAGAGCATTTTCAATTATTAAGAATATTTTTGGAAACATCGTGTAACTTGAATTTTTAAACAAAAATGTTTTACATTCCTTCTGAATTTATATCAATACCTAAAGAACGCATTGTGAACGTATTGTGAACGCAGCCAGCGCAGTGAGAACGCCATGAAAACGCCTAACGCGCCGTGAAAACTCCGAGGAAGCGCAGTCAATCGCAGAGAGATCTCCGTGGGAACGCAAGAGAGCGCCGTGAGATCGCGTTAGAATCGCATCAGTAGGGAGCCTTGACATCTTCATATTGTGAAAAATTTACAGAAATTTGTGCATTTTTTCCACGGCGATTTCAAAAATTTAACAACGCCGAAATGACTCCGTGTGAACACAGCTTGGTGTGACAGGGCCTTAAAGCAGTCACCCCACAAGGGAGCACCTATTCAACTGACCCACGCCAGAACTATATTCTTCTTCTTCTAATAATAATAATAATAATGCTTTATTTAGAGAAGGTAACCCGATTAGTACCAGGTACTATTCTTCCCCGGGGCCTTCTAATTTCAAACAACATATTACATAAAATGATACAATCAAAGATAAAACATGTAGAGTTCGTTAGTGCATAATGTAATGTACATCTAAATGAGATATAGATACACAATTAATAAAGAAGTCAATATTAGTATTTATGTGAAGCATAAAGTAATTTATACCATCTCTATTGTAAAATTTTTTATTTTCTATATTCCGGATTTTGTTATGCCTTCAGTTAAGATTTTCGCCTTACAAAATCCTTTATCTCGGATCACGTGATCATTGTTTACTGTAATTTTAGAAGGGAGAAGATTTTGATTTCATTTCGTTGGACTTTGAGTATTTTCGTTGCGTTATAAGGAATTCTTTCGAGATAATCACGTTTCTCCAGTTGATGTTGAATTATTAGACCAAGAATTGTAAGTAAAATGTGAATTTTAACATTTTATACAACGTTTTCCAAACTGATTGACCAGTGGCAGTGGCTGGTTTCGTAACCTCCCTTCTTACATAACACATTTGTTATGACAAAAAACGTTTTGATACTTGGTCACTCCTTTGTGCGGAGATTAGAACATTTTGTTTTAAACAATTTGGACAGCCGAGTGAACGAAAACCTGAATTTGAATAGAGATGAGGTTCGCATTTGTTACAGTGGACATGGTGGCGCTTCTCTGGAGAAGATTCGCGCGCTGGGGATGGCTTACGTAAGGGAACACCGCCCGGATGTGGTCATTATTCATGGTGTTTCTAACGATTTGTGTAAACCCGAAAAATCTGTTGACTCTATTTTTAGACAGTTAATTGAATTTCTCATAGACCTACGGTATGGACAGTCTGTCAAATCTGTGATAATTCTACAAACTTTACATAGAATTTCTCCTCTGAGGCGCACTCGTTACGAGGTCAGTTTACCGTGGTTTAACGGCAGGGCAGATGAACTAAATAGGAGGGTATCAGATTACACAAAGGGAGTTGATGGTGCCAAATTCTTCCGCCTTCAAGGATTTTGGAACTTTTCCACTAAGTCCAGTGTTTACCTTGATGATGGAGTCCATTTAAATAGACAGGGGAACATCAAGTATTACAACAACATCAGGGCTGTTGTTGTTTCTGTTCTTAAATCTCTGCACAATGGTGGGTAAAGTGTATTTGTAATTTTTGTATGCTATTCTCACTATTAAGTGGGGTGCATTAAGAATGCATACATCATTGAAACAAACTCATTTTATGTACAAATATGTTGAATTTAATGTGTAAGGCACTTTTTTTTAGTGTATTCCCTCTAATTATGAGGCTGTAACACAAGTTGCCTATTTAGTACACATTTGACCTTTGAACTTTTAAGTTCAGGTCTTTACACCCCAATATGGTTGGGGTTTTTCTGACATTGAATACCTATTTGGTATATTTTCCATCGGGTCTTCCATTTATACCCCTACATGGTTCGGGTTATTTTGCATCAGTGTTTTTTATTATTTTGCACTTATTTTTGGAATAACCCACTGGGTTAGGTGTATTTCTTTATGGGATTGATACCCTATATGGTTTGGGTTATTTAAATCCCGGTACAAACACCTATTTCTTTGGTCCCTTTGGGTTTTCCATTTTTTACCCCTATATGTTGGGGTTATTTTACACTGATGTTTACAAGTGCAAATTCTTTTGGAATGACCCTTTGGTTTTTTATTATGTATTTGTTTCCTTATATATTCTTTTACATGTTAGGAAACAATTTATACAGATATATAGTTAATGCTAATATTTTGATGACCACATTGGTTGAGGAGATTTTAATTCTATTTATACATATGGTCAAAGTTATTATATATCTGTTAATTTTATGAACATGATATCTCTATATACATATTTGGTTTTCTTAAAGGAAAGCTCATATTTGAACTATATTCATGTTCATGTACTCATATTATCAAATAATTTTAGATGAATGTCAGTGAGAGAGGGCGGCGAAGGAAAAGGACTGCTCCCCCTGCCGCAGCTGGATCAGCTACACAGAGGGTGGTGATGGATGAGGAAGTGGACGGTACCTCCCAGAATGATGTGCAGCCCCAGGTTCCACCTATACAGCCACAATTGGTAGCAGCGGTGACTGAACAGGTGCTAAAAGCCCTTGCGGGAGAGGAGAAGAAGGGTACTAAGAGGAGCAAACCTCAGAAGGGTTCTAAACGCAAACAGCGGAGAACGCCAAGCAGCGGCTCTTCAGGTACAGACTCTGACAATAATGATGAATCTACAGATAATTCAGATTCTGACAGCTCCTCATCTTCAGATAGTGATTCCGATGACTGTGAACTAATTTCTGATCCGACAACTTCGCAGATAGATTCTAAATTGAAAAACAAAATTTGGCAGAACAAATACGTAGATTTCGTCAAGTTGCTCCCAAGGGATGATTTCACTTCAGATAAATCATTGCGCCTACAAAGCGCTGGTAACTCTGAATATAAATTTGTCAAATCAAAACCAAAAAAGTCTATCAAAACAATTGAGCAGTGGACAACAGCATTTTTGAAATTTTTGGCAGTATATTCGGAAAAATATCCAAAGCAAATCCCAGCTGTTATCAAACATGGGGAAATTGTTAGAGAGTTAGCAAGTAGATCTTTGGGTCAGACATGGCTTACATATGATAAGCAGGTCAGGAAGGACATTGAAGTGAAGTCAATTCCATGGGGGCAACTTCATTACGAGTATTGGGTAATGGCCACCACTTTTCGACAACCCCAAACCCAACTCAATTTTCGTGGGAAACAGGGCCAACCAAGGGTTTCATTCAAAAATAGAACCCCTCCAGGATTCTGCTACGTCTACCACAAAAGTGGAAAATGTTCAAACCAGCAATGCCAGTATAAGCACATCTGCTTTCAGTGTAGGAAAACACACTCAGTCTTGTACTGCACAGGGGGAGATAAACCATTTACAAAGGGTACCGGTACCACATCTCAGTCTAAACAAACATCAATCCCCCAAAACGCAAACAAATAAAAATGTAGTAACACCAGTTAAGGTATCCATTTTAAGGCAGTTCCTCGAAGGGTATGATGACAATTTAAAAATTTATTTAACTGAAGGTTTTCAATATGGCTTCAAAATACAATATGAGGGTCCAAGGCAACAGCGCTTTTGTAAAAATTTAGTATCGGTTCAGCAGCATGAAAATATAGCTTCAAATAAATTACAAAAAGAAATTTCCCTTGGTAGGATTGCTGGTCCATTCAGCTCACCTCCTTTTACAAACCTTCAGTGTTCTCCTATTGGAATTGTTCCTAAAAAAGAAATAAATGAATTTCGGCTTATTCATCACCTGTCATATCCGGACGGAGCCTCTATAAATGATTTCATCCCTGATGAGTTGTGTTCTGTTTCCTACGCAACAGTAGATGATGCCATTAAACAAATAAAGAAACTAGGTAAAAACTGTTTGTTAGCAAAAACAGATATCGCTTCGGCATTTCGCATATTACCTGTTCATCCAGATGACCATGAATTGTTAGGGATTCAATTTAAGGGGGCTTTTTATTATGACAGGTGCTTGCCAATGGGGTGTTCAATATCTTGTTCTATTTTTGAGACATTTAGCACTGCCTTACAATGGATAGCTTGTTCAAAGTTCGGTGTATCCAATATGCTGCATATTTTGGATGATTTCTTATTTTTAGGTCCACCTGATTCCCCAGTATGCAATTTAGCTTTATCTCAGTTCATTTCAATGTGTGAAGTTTTAGGGGTACCTATTAAATGTGAAAAAACTGAGGGGCCTTCAACTACATTAATCTTTCTGGGTATAGAGTTAGATACTATGAACATGGAAGCTAGATTACCAAGAGACAAAATAGAGAAAATTCAGAATGCTCTGCATTCTGCCAAGCGACGTAAAAAGATTACTCTGCGTGAGCTTCAATCTCTGATAGGCCTGCTAAATTTTGCATGTTGTGTTGTTGTCCCGGGAAGGGCATTTTTACGGCGGCTTATTACACTCACCATAGGTATTTCAAAACCACATTTTCACATTCGTCTGAATGCACAGGCTAGGTTAGATTTGAGTGCTTGGTGCGAATTTATTGAGAATTTTAATGGAAAATCTATGTTTATTGATGACCATTGGCTGAATTCTCAAAAACTACATCTGTACACAGATGCTGCAGGAAATTTTGGTTATGGTGCTGTTTTCGGTACTAAATGGTTCTATGGTGCCTGGGAAAACATGGGTCTAAGACAGGTCTACAATATCACTTTTAAAGAGTTATTTCCAATAGTTATTGCAGTAGAAACTTGGGGAGATGCACTTGCAAACAAATCAATACTTTTTCATTCAGATAATATAGCTGTAGTAGAAATTATAAACAAAACTTCTTCTAAAGACACCTCTGTTATGTGCTTATTGAGACGCTTGGTGCTTGCTTGTTTAAGGCATAATATTTTATTCAAAGCGGAGCATATTCCTGGAAAAATAAATGTCTTACCAGATCTACTTTCGCGATTACAGGTGCAGAAATTCCTTGGGTTGGCACCATACATGGACCGATTTCCAACTACTGTGCCAAAGCAATACCTTCATGTTTGAATGAGACTGCATCTAAATTGTTGGAAGCCTCAGTAACTTACAATACTCAGCAATCTTACAAGACTGCTATGTCTGTTTTTCAGAATTTTTACAGAAAAGTATTTCACACCAGGCCTGAATTTCCTACGGAAGTAGCACAGGTTATTTGTTTTGTGTCTTGGCTACATAAAGAAGGAAAATCCCACAACACCATCAACACTTATGTTGCTGGTCTTTCATATTACCACCGTCTAAATGGTTTCACAGACCCCACACAATTTTTTATTATCAAAAAACTAATTAAAGGTGCACAACAGCTGTCAGGTACACCTGATATCAGGCTACCTATCACACCTCAAATATTGCGCAAAATTGTACATGCAGTTAAAAACACAATCTCTGAAAAATTCAATAGGCTTCTCCTTAGGGCAATGTTTACTCTGAGTTTCTTTGCTTTCTTACGCGTAGGAGAAATAACAGCAAAATCCCCTAGAAACATTAAAAATGTTATACAAATGGAAAACTTGAAACTGGACAAACCTTTGACAAATCCAAAATACATGACATTAACTCTTAGACATTTCAAGCACAACGCATCCTGTAGACCGGTCTGTTTACAAATAGCTACTCAGAAATGTAAATCCATTTGTCCGGTTCGTGCTATGGTGAAATACATTGAAGCACGAGGTTCAGCTCAGGGTCCTTTGTTTACTTTTGATAATTGCAATCCCATTTCACAAGCATATTTTACATCAGAACTCAAGAATGTGGTGTTATATACTGGTCTTGACCCCAAGCTCTATAGGTCTCATAGTTTTCGCATAGGGGCAGCTTCTTATGCTTTTCACTCCAAAGTATCTGAAGAAAAAATCCGCCTTATGGGTCGCTGGAATTCTAATGCAGTCAAACGATACTTCCGTATCCCAGTGTTTGATACTATTGAGGTTTCACCTACAAGTCAGACTGACTGAGGCAGCTGATGATGAACGTGTAGTATCCCTCCCTCCCTATCCCTCTTGCAATCATAAATGTATTATTTATATTCAGACTGTCTGAGGCAGCTGTATATTTATATCAATTCCATATTTTTACTTAGTGGCCGTTATCAAATACAGAATTTTGTAGATAACAGTTTTGGCTTTTTATGACATAAAGAGATTTTGATTTATTTCATACACATGATACATATGACTTTGGATTTCACTGGACTTCGTAGTTGATCAATTATGACTGTCTGAGGCAGCATAAGTTAATGGAGATAAAGTGTATGAACTCGTGCCAATTTTAGACTGTCTGAGGCAGCTTTTATTGTTTATATGTTTATCAAGCTTTAGGGAATAATGTGGACATTTTCCTTTATGCACAATTTGTATCCAATTGGTTTTTTGTGTAGCATTTTACATTTTTTTTATACGGGTGTTTATGTTTTACATGTATAAAGTACTGGATAAACTATTGACTGTCTGAGGCAGCATTGTCTATCCAGTCGGACTGAATTTGTACGGGTATTGTTAAATAAGTTGCATTTACCAACATCTCGTTTTTGCTTGTATAATGTATGGACAGGTTTTGTTTTTTAGGTTCATACCTTTTCCTGACATTTTCTTGATGTATGTTGTACTTGATTTTAACGCTACTCAGGATTTATGTTTCCAAGAACTGTTTAAGCAATAGACATTAGGTATGTGTTACCCTGTCATACTGATATCTCCCATTTTTCTCCCATTCATCTCCTCTGGATGGGGCACTTGTCTCTAAGCTACTGTTTTCGACAAGTTTGTGGCATGTTTTTTTAATCAAGTCCCATCTTTTTTGCCATTTTTAGTCATGTGTGTTTTTATTGTGTACATACTTAGAGTTCTATATGCATTGTTGTTCTATATTAATTAGGGCAAATTTAAGATATGCATTTCCTTTTTTATTGTATGTACCTTTTTGGTTGTTTTTAATTTTTCATTGTGACAGGTGTAACATATATTTAATATCAAACAATACTGCTGTATATTTCATTGGCATTTGTAATAAATGCTCTTTTCAATTCAAATACTTGTTGATATCATTTTTGGCAAAAAACAGAGCAGAGTAGATTCTGGCAGAAAAACAGAGGATTGGTATTTGATGTAAAAAATAGACGATGGTATAATTGTATTTATGTGAAGCATAAAGTAATTTATACCATCTCTATTGTAAAATTTTTTATTTTCTATATTCCGGATTTTGTTATGCCTTCAGTTAAGATTTTCGCCTTACAAAATCCTTTATCTCGGATCACGTGATCATTGTTTACTGTAATTTTAGAAGGGAGAAGATTTTGACCCTCCTCCTCCCCTTCATCCACCGGTGCTTATTGTGTGTTCAAATGAAGCTAGTCATATCATGTTTTGTCATTTTGCTCAATCTGTATTATACTTGTTGGCTATTCAAGATTGTAACTAGTTCTTTTTCTACAATAACTTTTAGGTACTTAAATTAAGTTAGTGCCAATATTGTTTTTATTCAAGCTAGTCCCAATTCTTTTGCCATTTTATTTTTAAGTATGGGCATGTTTTTTTAATCAAGTCCCATCTTTTTTGCCATTTTTAGTCATGTGTGTTTTTATTGTGTACATACTTAGAGTTCTATATGCATTGTTGTTCTATATTAATTAGGGCAAATTTAAGATATGCATTTCCTTTTTTATTGTATGTACCTTTTTGGTTGTTTTTAATTTTTCATTGTGACAGGTGTAACATATATTTAATATCAAACAATACTGCTGTATATTTCATTGGCATTTGTAATAAATGCTCTTTTCAATTCAAATACTTGTTGATATCATTTTTGGCAAAAAACAGAGCAGAGTAGATTCTGGCAGAAAAACAGAGGATTGGTATTTGATGTAAAAAATAGACGATGGTATAATAATTGTTCAAGAGACATTGTCTTAAACAATAGTAATAGTCAAACATCTTGTACAAAGGACATATTCAAACATTTATTTACATACGTTGGCTAATTATAATTTTTTCTACATTTCGTCTAAAAATAGGTAAGGTTGGTGATAATTTTATATGTAATGGTAGGTTATTCCATAAATTTACACCTGAATATTGAATAGAATTTGTAAGTAAAATTGTTCTATGTTTTGGTAAAGGAAGATTATAATTTAATTCTGAACGTAAGGAATAGGAATCATTGCTATGAAAAACAAAAGGTCCTGGAGATATTCGGGGCTCATACCATAAAAAGTTTTGTACAATAAAATACACTTATGTAGTGTGACTAATTCAAATACATTTAGCCATCCCAGTTTTTCAAACAATGGTTTTGATTGTTCTTCGGGTGCTGCATCAAGAATAATTCTAGCAGCCCGTTTCTGAAGTTTATGAATTCTTTCAATGCTAGTTTTAGATGTATTGCCACATATTGTAAGACAATAGTTTATTGAAGGCAAAATATATGCATTATAAAAAAGTTTTTTGGTATTTAATGGAAGAAATTTCTTAATTTTACGGAGTGTAAATAACTTGTATGTTAAGGATTTACAAACTGAATCTACATGATAATTATAATGAAGATTTTGATCTATATAGACACCTAAGAGTTTTTCAACATTAACATTTCCAAGCTTTTCTCCAGAAATTTCTGTATTAAGTTCTGGAATATCTAATTTTGACCTTTTTTGTTGTGTACACATAAGCATAGATTTTGATTTGTTCGTGTTCAGAATCATTTGGTTCTGTAAACACCAGTTTTCAATTTCGCATAAATCATAATTCAAAAATGTTTCAATATTATGTACATTGTTATCAGATAAATGCAGAGTTGCATCATCTGCAAACATATCAATATTACAGTGATTGACACATAGGGGGAGGTCATTTATGTACAATAAAAATAGCAGTGGACCTAAAATAGATCCCTGGGGCACCCCTGCTGTGATAGGTAAGATATCAGAAGAACATGCACCAATTTTAACACTTTGGGTTCTTTCATTTAAATAAGACTGAAACCATTTCATTGTAAGTGAATCAAAGTTATAGTGCCTCAATTTCTCAATTAAGAGATCATGATTGACTAAATCAAATGCTTTACTGAAATCTAGAAATGCTATGCCAGTGAGATTCCCTTGATCCATTGCATTCAACCAGCTGTCAGTAAGTTTGGTTAGTGCCGTTTGGCAAGAATGGAATTCCCTAAAGCCACTCTGTGAGTTTGTAATGAGGTCAAAAGCTCTGGTGAATTCACGTACTTGATTAGCAACATGTTTTTCAAAAATTTTTGATAAAGTCGGTAAGATTGATATTGGTCTGTAATTACTTGGATCATTTTTATCGCCCTTTTTATATATAGGGGTGACTTAAGCTTGTTTCAGATGCAAAGGAAAGATGTCATTAGTAATGCTAGTATTAATTAGATGAGTTATAGGCTTAGAAATTATATCAGCAGAGAGTCTTAAGAGGCGGGGACCAATGAAATCTATACCTGCCGATTTATTAATGTCAAGTTTGCATAGCATTGAGAAGACCTCGTCTTGTCTTATAGGAAGTAAGCTAAATACATTTTCATCATTAAGTTTTTACTTTGTGAATTCTTTCAACTTTTCTGGTTTAAAGTTACGCTTTGGTAATTCATTTAATAAATTGCTAGAAATTTTTGTATAGTGTTCATTAAAAACATTGACAATACCTTGTGTATCGTTAATTTCTGATCCGTTGTCCTTAATATGAGTAGGAAAAAATATTTTGGCTTTGAGGATAAATGGTTCAGATAGCTCCAGAGTTCTTTAGGATTAGAGCTCTCCTCAATAGCTGATTTATAATAAGTACATTTAGCATTATTAATCAAAAGCGTAACTTTATTCCTCCAATGTCGAAAATTTTCAAAGTCTTTGTGTTGATGATAGTAATCTCGTAATTGTCTAGCATCATTAATTTCTTGTGTTAACCATTTTGGACGAGACTCAGTTTTCACACGTTTAGTCTTTACTTTAGCGTGACTATTTAGAATAGTATTAAACATATTGTAAAAGTTCGCTAAGATATCGTTAGGATTGTCCAAATTCGTAAGGGCATCAAAATTGACACTTTTTAAATCGGAAAGAAATTTTTCTTCATTAAAATTCTTAAAGTCGCGGTATTGAATTTCAGTGTGTTTTCCCTTACGCTGCATGCTGTTAGATCTGCGTGTTGCACAAACAGGGTAATGGTCAGACATAGCTATGGGTGGTACTTGGATTTCACAGATGAGGTCAGGTTGGGTAGTGTAGAAATGATCAATAAGGGTAGATGAGGTGTTAGTAATTCTAGTAGGTGTGGTAATTAATTGAGTTAGTCCAAATTCTTCTAGTGCAGATGTCCAGGATAGAGGGGGGTCTTTTAGTAGATCAATATTAAAGTCACCTGTAAGTATGATTTCTTGGTCATCACAGCAGGAGGCACGATTTATCTCCCTAGCTAGGTCCTCCACCCAGCAGATGGGTGCAGATGGTGGGCGATATGCAGAACAATAGAGGATAGGCTTTGTGTTTTTTAAATTGATTTCTAACCATATTGTTTCTATGTTACTAATTTCTAAATCTTGTCGACGCTTATAGGATAGATTATTTGAGACATAAATAACTATTCCACCACCTCCCTTATTTTGTCGATCTTTTCTTTCAAGTACATAACCATCTATATTCAAATCTGCATCACTAATTTGTTCATTTAAAAAAGATTCACAAAGCCCCAACACATCCATAGATCGTTCATTTTGTAAAATTAATTTCATTTCGTCTAATTTTGGTAGAAGATGACACACGTTAAAATTTCCGAAACGCAAACCTTTTTTAACTAGACCAAAATCAGAATTTGTCAGTGCACATTTATTAGAGATGTTTATTGCTTTGGTAGAATTTAGACTTTCAGGGCTAGGGCTTTTGTTTATCTCCTGTTTTGAATTAGATTTTTGCTTAGTTTTGAGATAATGTATATTTTTGGCAGCTGAAAATTCTATTTGAGAATTTTTTAAGATACATTTACATGAATTTTTGTTACATTCTGAACATAAAGTTTCGAGAGGTAAAAAGTTATTTTGCAGACTTAATGAAATACTTTCTGTATATTCGGCCAGACA